CATTCAACTCAGACTCAGCCATTTCATCACACAGTTTTAAATTTGTTTATGGTCCTTCTACTTCCCTTCTCATGTTACATTCTATAATTCTTGCTATTTACCTTTACTTCTTGTCCTGAAATTCTAGGCAACAACTTACAGTTACATTATCAAAACTTTTCCAATAAACGCCTTTAGAAGGCTCAGGAGATAGCTCAGTAGAATAAGCGCCTGCCTGGCAAGTTCAGGGTCCTGAGTTCAATCCCTGGTACCACAAAAAAGAAAAAAATAAACACCTGGAATGCTCATAGTCACAGAGAAATCAGCGTAGGAAAGATAAAAATTGAAAACAAAGTCAAAGGGAGCATTTATAAAAGAAGAGTTCTGCTTTTTCTACAAAAGAATCAAAAAGGGAAAAGCTTAACAAATAAAACTAAAGGATGGACGTCCTCATAGTAAGACTGCTAAAAAGTGTGAAACTAGGTCTTCCTTACTGGACTGCAGTTCCCCTGTAATCATCCTATCCCTGCAACACAGAAAGAGGCCAATGACAAATGAGATAGGGGAGCTGCGTGCATGTCACAACTTCTGGTTCAAGGCTAGTGTACTCAGAAGGGCTTTTAACTAGAAGTATAAGTATACATTTTGAAATTTTTAAAGCATTTTTCGATACCTAATGGTGCAAAAGGTCTATATAGTAGGCTAGCAAGGAGTAGTAACCCATATAATAAGTAAACTGTCTAGACAGTTTTATCATCATGATACACAAAAATAAATTGACGCAAAGAGTCAATCCTAAAATACTAATGAACAAATGTTCAGTTCTGCCAAAGGGTTCTGTCAAATACATTACAATACATACTATAAAACAAATTTTCTCAAAATTCTTTTAAATCAGTTTCTCTTTATCTCTGTTTCTGCCTCTCTCCCTCTGCCTTTCTCCCCCTCCCTCCCTCTGATACCCTCTCACTGAAAGAAGAACCACATATCTTTCTGCTTCTCCTTTCTCAGTTCCCAAAACTTGACCATCTCGTTTCTCCTCTGACTCTCTTAAGTTCCCTTGAACCTCCCAACTTCAAGTATCTTCCACTCCTTTCAGGGGTTTATTTTCACTTTTCTGAGAGATTTGGCTTCTTGGGCAGTCTCCACTTTCATATGGGCACAGGTTACCCTGAGAAACTTATGGTCAGAACAGCAAATTCAGGGCTTTTGTTTCAACAAATGGAAATGATACACTGTACAGTTTATGTTTATAATCTTCTGTGATAGAGGAAAAACAATCTTATTGATTTAAATCCTATTCTGAACAAGAATCCTTTCTAATATGTGTTTTAAACTGTATATAAATTACTCCGTGACCACCTGTGATCCATCATGGGAGATTCTTACTGCATTATGCAAGCGTAGTATACCTAGAGACACCACATCCTAAATTTAATTCAAGAAAATAAGCACTAGTATCTCAGCTATAGGGGATGACATACCCACCCCAAAAGGAGAAGAAGAAAAAGCAGGTGACTCCCTTAAACTCTGGTTTGCCACAAGAATCTCAACTGCAGAAATTATCTTTTAATAATATCTAAAGAAGTGTTTTAGCTAGGGAAGAAAAAGAAAAACAGGTAAGACACATTGAGGAAGCATACCTGTGGTTAAGTATTACATACATTTATATAACAGACTTGCATTTTAATTTGTAGCTCTCTTGCATTTAGAAAATAATGAAAATTCTCAAGCAGTTGTAGAGCTTAGAAAACCATTGCCTATTCTATTCCAGACTATAATCCTCTTCCCTTCTGCCTACCAAGTCACATTCACTTTCAAGGTCCTTACAAACAACTGTGCAATAGCTTCAATTTCCAGCTGTCTAATCAAAGAAAATTAAAGACATTTTCTCTAACAAACTTGCTGTTAATGTGTGAGTTGAGTCACGTGACAAGGCATGACCACAGAGTCTATAGCACCCCTTTCATATATGCTCTCAGCACCCGGGTGATGGAGCATTTCTACCATGATCCTTGAATGGAAATAACAACTTCCAGAGTGAATTAGAATTGCAGAGATCCCACAGAGATAAAAGGGTCTATGGATGGCATATCAGGCCACATAGTGCAAAGAAAGAACTCTGAGCAGCTTAAATAAGAGCATGAAGCACTCAACATAATAGAAGAGCCTGAAAACAGGACTCCATTAGGGCAGAGCAGCAGGTTCATGATGCTGGGCTTTAAACATCCTTCAGTCTCTCTATTCTATGTCCAGTGGCAGAAAAAAGTGGCTCTCCTGATCAGGGCTCTTGTAGGAAGAGGGAAACCAGTCTAGGATCCCCCAGGAGAGCAGCCACCTGACTGCTCCGAGCAAACCTGGATCACTTACCTGTGGCAAGGAAGAAATAAAAGTACAAATCTAGAGGTGTTGGCTTCTAGCACGATAATTACTTAATAAGAGATTGTAACCCTTCCTAACTACAAAATTTCAGTGTTACTATTTAGCAACCCAAACTCAAAGTTCCCAAGATCTGAGGAATGAACTGAATTGGCGGGTAGCATTTGTTTTTTCTGTTTTAACAACCAAACTTATCTACTTTAGACCTACTCTTATGTTAATATGTTTAAACATTTTTAAATCATAGACGGCAAGCATGAGTACTGTTTTCCAAAAAGTAATTTAATCACACACACACACACACACACACACAATCTCAAGGCAAATTGTAAAAAAAAAAAAAAGTATGTGACACCAACTCCCCATATCTACCATAGAACCTATGGATTTTGACTGCTTTTCTCAGAGCAGCTTTTTCAATATTCCATAATGTAAATAAACTGGCAGGACAAAAGTCTGTATGCTAGAGTTTATAAACTGTGCTTCTACTACAGAACGAAAAGAAGTAACTGGTCAGCTGGAATTTTCTATAATGTTAACCATCTGGCACATTATCCAGAACTCTCCTAGGAAAAGTCATGATCCTGCACACACTAATTAAATAAGTCAATGCAGTAATCACACTTTAGATAACCAATCTATTTCAATCCTGATAATTTAATTACCTAATTCTGGTAAATAAATTTCAACCTTAGTCCAAAATGATTAGAGGATTAAAGTTTAAAATTAATGAATATGAACTCAAATAGAGCCATTCTTACAAAGTTCAGAAACTTCCAAAGGCTTGTTCTCTCAGGTGTCAATTTACTGCCCCAAATCCAGAATTTAAATGTACTAATATCCCAAGATTTCCTAAATCTGTTCTAAGTGATATAACTAAGCTCTATGCTAGTTATACTTATTTGCTAGATCTACAACTCCACAGCAAAGTGGTCTTCTCTGACTTCTACATAGAAAACTGCTCACCACTTCCACTCACTCTTTATTTTTCACACACCACACTTTATCTGTGTACATGTGTCCCAGCCTAAGCCACAGGACAGAGGAACAGATTACTCTAGTCCTCATCTCAAGGCTTGGAAAGCTGTCTAACATAGACACTAAGTAAATACAAATTAGATGAACAACTGAGTGTCTTAAAAATGTAGACTCACAAATAGCAAATATGTACTTCTACCTGTAGTTTCACCTATATTTTTAATTATGACATAATGATTTCAGTAACAAAAATGCATAACCAAAAAAATTAACAATTTCTACTACTACCACCTCTACACAAGAGACTGTCTCCAGTTTAAAATGTTATGTTCTTTTTTTTTTTTTTTTTTGCAGAACTGGGGATTGAACTCAGGCCCTTGCGCTTTCCAGGGAAGTGCTTATTCCACTGAGCCATCTCAAAAAAATAAAAAAATAAAAAAAAAAAAAAATAATAATAATAATAATAAAATGTTATGTTCTTATGATGGAATAGACAATTTAACTGAATGCTGATAGTGAGCTTATGATGTAAGTATTGCCATGTCACGGAATAGAAAATTACAAATGAAAGAGGTAACATAAAATGCCAATGATCAAACAGGATAAATAAATAGATTCAAAACATACAAACTGATGCCTACACACTTACAGCTGATGTTTGATATCAACATGTCATTAAAGGACAAAAGCCTTTAGCATCAGTCAGTATCACAACAGGAGGATACAAAGCCCATTGATATAAAGAGCTGGAAAAAGCACAGCACTTTGTACAACTAAAGATCACCACTGCCAAAACATGAGACATATTTAAAAAGTAAACATCGCTCGAGTCCTTCTTCCAAAAGAAATACCTTAGAGTCATGACAGGTCTAGTTTATAAATGGAGTTAAGTATAAATAACTTGTATGCTTGTACCTGGTCTTGAGTTAAAATATCCAATGAAAACTAGTACTGTATGTTAGGCTACTTTTTATTAATCCAGTTCTATCATATTTTTGTCAAAAATTGTAGATTTTCTACTATCCCTAGCTTCTTTGGCTTCCCTTTGATATTTTTCATCAATTCCATTTATTCCCAATTTGTATACGGCTAGTAGTCAAGCTCATTTGTACCACGAAATAAATGCCATTGATTCTATGTGCCAGTCATGGTTTCTTAGACATTTAGTCATTACTTCCACCCACATATTTCATGTTTCCCTGGAAAACTGGCAGCCATGTGGGGACTTAATGCTCTTTTCAATACCCACATTTATAATTTGTTACAAGACAATTTTATCCATCAGGGAACTCACATTAAAAATATGCTGTTATGTATTCTGAAAATCAGTTTTCCTTTCCTATAATAAAAGTATCATATCAATTTATGTGACATTGGAAATCAGTAAGTATCTTCATTCACTAAAAGGGAAAGGCCTTTAGAGTAGACCATCGTGCTTCTCAACCAAGCAATTGGCCAAAATATGAAAACATCTTAAAACCAGTAAGATATGAAATATTTTTTAAATTAAATAAATTCAGTATAATTCTTGTTCCTTTAATTATATATTCAAAGCCTTCTGATTATAGTTGTGTGCAAACTTAAGCACTTCATTAGACAAATGCATTGTTTTCCACACTGCAACATGTTTCAGCAGTATTTTTCAATTTGACAGTTTTACTTACCGTCTTAGAAGCAGTATTAATGTACTGCATCACCATTTCTTTTTTGATACCGAAGTCCTTTTCCCGCAATGGTGCCTTTTTATCTTCATTTAAATTCATATCTTCCTGGAAAACACAATTAAAATGGCTGATTTTAGAATCTAAGGAGACCAGCAATTCTACATATACTACAAATGGAAAAATCAATAATTTGTGACTAAAGCAGCATTAATTGTTTTGGAATGATTTATGTGTAGTTCTACCCAGACGAAAGAGAGAGGAAAAACAAAGAGACAGTGAAGAAAATAATACAGAGTATTTTAACAGGTGAAGTGCTTACCAGAAAAACTTTAAATTCACACCAGGATATTAAAATTATGTTCACATCACTATAGATAATTAGACAGTGGCAGATTTCTGCCTTTCATGAGGTTATCATGATTCACAATTTCAATATGCTTATTTATTTTACAACAGCTGCACGTGAAGCTATCTTGTACTGTTTTTGAAAGAGCTGCTGCTGGCAGGCCAGACAGCTCAGTGGATTAAAGTGTCTACTTAGGCAGATGCAGGAACCCGGGTTCAATTCCCTGCTCCAACCCCGGGGACACACTGAGACAACAACTGAGACTGGGTGTGGTGGCGTGTACCTATAGTCCCAGCACTTGGGAGGCTGAAAACAGGAGGATCACTATGAGTCCACTCTGTGTAGTGAGATCCTGTACTAGATACATTAAAAAAAAAAAAACAGCTGCTGAATATTAAAAAGTAAATAAACCACCACCTTCTATATTCTGATAGCTACAAGAACATATTGCTATCAAACACATATTATAGACTGTCCAGAAGCAGCTGCCAGGCTCCTTCTCCAGTCTCCATCTTCAATTCACCTGCCTCCACTCCAGCATCCACCATGTTCATAACAGTGACCCAGAAGTCCTAGAAAGTGTCCACCTCAGGCCCCTGGGCCTTCAGCAGCCTCTCCTACACAAGCAGGCCTGCTTCCCGCATCAGCTCCTCCAGCTTCTCCCGAATGGGCAGCAGTGGCAACTGCCGGGATGGCCTGGGGCTGGGTGGCCATGGTGGGGCTGGTGGTGTGGGCAGCTTCACAGCCATTCAGGTGAACCAGAGCCTGCTGAACCCCCTGAACCTGGAGGTGGACCCCAACATCCAGGCCGTGAGTAATGAGGAGAAGGAGCAGATCAAAAACCTCAACAAGTTCGCCTCCTTCATCGACAAAGTTCAGTTTCTGGAGCAGCAGAGTAAGATGCTGGAGACAAGTGGAGCCTCTTGCAGCAGCAGAAAACATCCCAGAGTAACATGGACAACATGTTCAAAAGCTACATCAACAACCTCCAAAGGCAGCTGGACTCACTGGGTCAGGAGAAACTGAAGCTAGAAGCGGAGCTTGACAACATGGAGCTGGTGGAGGACTTCAAGAATAAATATGAAGATGAGATCAACAAGCGTACAGATATGGAAAATGAATTTGTCCTCATCAAGAAGGATGTGGATTAAGCTTACATGAACAAGGTGGAGCTCAAGTCACACCTGGAAGGGCTGACTGATGAGATCAACTTCCTCAGGCAGCTGTACGAGGAGGAGATACGTGAGCTGCAGTCTCAGATCTCAGACACATCTGTGGTGTTCTCCAAGGACAACAGCCACTCCCTGGACCTGGACGGCATCATCACCAAGGTCAAGGCCCATTACAAGGAGATCGCCAACCACAGCCAGGTTGAGGCCGAGAGCATGTACTAGATCAAGTATGAAGAGTTGCAGACTCTGGCTGGAAAACACGAGAATGACTTCCACCACATGAAGTCCTAGATCTCTGAGATGAACCGCAGCATCAGCTGCCTGCAGGCAGAGACTGGGGCTCTCAAAGGCCAGACAGAGAGCATCCCTGGAGGCTGCCATTGCTGATGCCAAGCAGCATGGGGAGATGGCTATTAAGGATGCCAACGCCAAGCTGGCCCAGCTGGAGGCTGCCCTGCAGAAGGCCAAGCAGGATATGGCCCGGCAGCTGCGCAAGTACCAGGAGCTCATGAACATCAAGCTGGCCCTGGACATCAAGGTCGCCACCTACTGCAAGCTGCTGGAGGGTGAGAACAAGCAGGAGGCTAGGGTGCATAACTTGAGCATCCACAGAAAGATCACGAGATTCAGGAATGATGAACTCACCCTATGGAGGCCTCACAAGCCCTGGCTTTGGGATCCTCCAAAGTCCTGCCTCCCCCCCCGCCCCCCGCACCAAGTCTGCTGGGGTTGTGAAGAAGATTGCAACACGTGATGGGAAGCTGGTGTGAGACCTCTGATGTCCTGCCCAAATGAATGGGCCATAGCAGCCTCTCCCAGCCCGTACTTCTCTCACAGCTGCCCCAGAGCCCATGGGGAAACAACTATATAAGGGAGCATTGAGAGCAAGAGACCTACTTGAGGCTCAGCTTAGCCCTCAGCCCACCTGTGAGGAGAACATTACTGCATGGGGTACCCCTTCTTGCCCATGCCCTTGACCAAAACAAAACCCAACTTAATTGTTTTTTTCAAAATAAAGCCTGGTTTTGCCACCTAAAAAAAATCATTATAAAACCCTATCATCTGGAAAAGCATTCTATAATTTTGTCTTTCTAAGCCCTATCAGAAATATTAACCAGCTGATATATCTAATGACCTAATCACAAAAAATTTGCACCTATATTAAAACAAGTATCACCTAAAAATTTAACATCTCTCAACAGCACCAACCAAAATATGAATCCTATATTGTATTACAGGACTGATTCTGACTAAAAGTACAAGGTAGGTAAATCCGCATGAATGCATCAATTTCTAGCCAGTAAGGTCTTAAGAAGTTGTTCTGCACCAGAAGGGAAGCCTGAAGTTAGAATGGACAGGAGCAAACAAAAATGGCAGTCCAATAGATTTCCTTCTGACCTTGCCCTTGGGTGATATATGACATGAAATGTAAAGAACTTTAACAGATGCACTCCATATCCACTCAGAATGGAGAAATAAAACTCAAGATTTTGCATCACCTATGGAATGAGGAAAGTTAAATTTCTTTCAAATTTCATGAAAGTGTTACATTCATCGGCTACTACCTCTGACTCAATTTTTGGCCAACAAACCCTAAAAATACTTTAATGTCAAAATTATCTTCCTTTCACCTTGGTCGAAATATCTAAGAACTTAGAAGATGTTTCACGTGACATTCCCAAAACAAAGCAGTAATTAGTACTCTTGCTGATCTTCAGAAGTGTCCTTGAAATTGTGTGAATAATGGGTTGTTTTCATTTTTTTCTGTAAGTTACTGACTCTCAGGAGGTTTTTCCATCATGTAAGGAATAGTTTTTGCAGAATTCTGGTTTTCACAGTGACTTGCGTGCTGCTATAAGCATTTATCAGGCCAGCTATGCAAGACTTTCCTGTTAGTCCTATAATATACAAAAATTGTCTTATACCCTACAGCCACACACCTTTAAAAGATAAATAATTATCGGAGCCCACTCTAAGTCAATAGAAGTAAAACAAACTGTAGAATACAACATGTAAATTGTAACATATTAAATACTTTATATTGCATAGTTTGAACACACGTTAAGTGTTCTAAGACTCTAAATACTCCGCAAGTTATAGTTCAACTTTTTTTTAAAAAAAGCTTTACCAATAATTTTGCTCTGTTTCTGAAATTTGAGTATCCCAGGGCAGTACTGTTTGTAGCACTCAAATCTCTAAAACAGCACACCTATAATAATCTGTTGTATTCACAGTGGTATGAAGCAGAGATTCAAGAATATTTCATTATTGGGTATTCAGGGCCAAATAAGATATACCAATTTTTTTGAATTATGATGTAAGTTGCTTATACTATCTAGAAATTATTTTACTGGAAATAAGCCAGGCATAGAAAGACAAAAACTAAATGTCCTTATTCATATGGAGAAGCTAAAACATTCATCTCCAAGGAATAACAGAATAGAATACTGGTTATTGGGTCATGAAACATAGGGGTTAAGGAGGGTAGTGGGTATCAGATATAGTACAGGTAGACAGGAAGATTAAATTCTTGTGCTCTATAGCACAAAACAGTGACTACAGTTAATAACTTATATTTCAAGACAACTAAAAGGATTTTGAGTGTTCCCAACACAAAGAAATGGTATTTTGAGGCAAAAGATATGCTAATTATCATGATTTAGTCAATGTGCATTGTGTACATATGTCAAGATATCACTGTACCCAATCATGATGTACTATGACATGACAAATAAAAACAAAAATAAGTAGAATTTCACTGGAAGAAAGTAATAGGAAAGTAAGGACATAATTGTTATAAAACGTAGGGGAACCTGAGAGGATTAAAAATCTCTGTTCTAAATTCTTCTCAATATTCTTCTGTGTCAAATATAAGTCAGCTTCTTTAATAAGTTAATTAAAATACTTAATAGACAGAATACTAAACAATGAAAGCCCATTAATTGTGGCTGAAATTAAATTTCAGAAGGGTTGGTGAAAGAAAGGGGAAAAAAATAGGCCACTGTTCTCTTTTTTGAAAAGCTTTTCCACATGACATTCGTTAGTACACACAGGTGACTGTAATGATTAATTTCAGGTGATCGTTAATATTAGGTTAGTCCTCTGGATTAAGGGATTCACAGAGAGCTTGTCTGGGTATGTCTGTGAGATTGTTTCCAGAAGAGGTCAACATTTTAATCAAGGGAATGACTAGGAAGATACACCCTCAGTATAGACAAGCACTAACCAATCAACTGAGGACTCAAAAGAAAATTTTAAAAAGGAGAAGGCAGATGATTTCACTGTCTCTCCTCTAGAATTGGGACACTTTTCTCCAACATATTCCCCAACATTCACACCCTGGACTTGCACCTGTATCTACCACTTCAGCCTTGGAAGGAACCCTCTACTGACCTGTTGATTATTTATGCTTCATAATTTAGTGGGCCAGTTCTCTTAACAAACTCCTTTCATATGTCAATCTATCGATATCTTTGTATATCTCTCTGGATAACCCGGAGTAGTACAATGTTATATCTGGAATTAAGGGAAAAGCCCAGAGTTTCACTAACGCTTTCCTCTGCCTTATATGGTCTTATTTAAATATG